GGTTACTTAGTCACAAATTAGCTCACAATAGATGGCACTTCAGGTGAAACGCTATTTGTTATCAGTCGTTTAGGAGCCATTAAGTCTCGTAATATGGATGTAAAATTTTGAATGCACATTTGAAATTTCAAGAATCTACAAACTATTCCATAAGGTTTAGGAAACGTGAACTTCTTAACAGTGATGGAAATGGGGGTACATGAGGGTACACGCCGTGTACCTAGTTCTCAATTTGCATTTTTTCCCCATTGGTTAAGTTTAATACCACTGAAGATGTTTATTAACCCTATCGTCACGGATAAAAGGCCATGTCATCGCGTTTTGACTTACATTCAAAATTTTATTGAACTACTATTTTATAAATTTATGTCAATAAGTTTGGTATCAAATTGTATATTATAATTCAAATTTTAGTATTATATATTAGTTAATTTCTTAATTTAAAAGTAAATATTATAAACACACACCTAAATATTGATTTTTATATGTCACGTGGTATGTTGGATGCAGCATTGGTTCAGATTAGATGTTTGTGATGTCCAAATACAAAGTCTATAGTTTCTTACGAATTAGGAACTCCAATTACCGATATTTTACAAGCTAGAATATAAAATAAGAACCTCTTATATTTTCTATTTCCTTTTTATACCTATCACCCCACTGCTCCTTCTAAGTGTGTGCCTAGTTCCTAAAACCTATTTCCTTTCCTGCTTCTTAATTAGGAAATACGTAACTCAAAATTTTTCTATTTTAAACAGCGATATACAGTCCATAAGATCATTTTTTCACTAATCATATTTTCAACCAATAAGGTTAAAAAATACCATTTTAATTGTTTGAGCTCTTATTGGAGAGATGTTCGAACAAAAGTTGGTTTGTTATTTCTCTATCCTAATTTGGTTTAAGGCCAGTTCTTGTGTTTCTCTATATACTAGTGTGTTCAATGTGTATGAGCTCCCATATGAGGTGACTTGATAGGCTAAAAGTGAACCTGCTACTTATATTTCTATATACAAACTTTTATGTGTAATTACAGGACTAGGAGACTAAGAATTCTCGTTCCATTAAAATCGGTTCTTTGTCATAATTCCTAAAATGGTAACTCCAAATTTCAACGAGGTTTTGTATGGAAATTCCTCATATAAACCTCTCTCTTTAGAAGTGGCTAATATTGTACCCTTATTCATCCGAGAATAAGGTCACAAAGATGGAGAGTTAAAAATGTTAAGCTCCATATTCCCGATGTAACACGCATATGTAAATATGATGACAAAAGAACTAACATTCTTCAGAAACATATGGTTTACTTTTACGTTCATCATGGTTTTCTAAATGATTACAATTTTTCACAACACCTTTAAGTTTTCTTCTTGGAAATGCAAAGTTTAATAAGAATCCTAGCTCAATCATATTGTTTAAAGAGAATTTTTTCCCATACCAATATGGTAAATTCGTTTCTTCATATCCCATCTACCACCACCATTCTGGAAGGTTTAGGAGGATGAAAAATGTATCGCTGTTTGCATTATGATATTTGATCTACTTAATAACTTAAGATCACGAAAATTAGTATGAAGATATAATATAGCACTTGTTAGATTCTGTTTTCGAAAGATCGCGGTTTAATACATCTTGCAACACTTGACTTATAGAAAATATATCCAATCCACGGGAAAACTCGAAACGATTGAGTTGTAGTAAATACAACCCATCCACGCGAAAACTCGAAACGACTGACTGACAGTAAATACAACCTACCCACAGGAAAATTCGAAACGACTGACTGACAGTAAATACAACCTATCCACAGGAAAACTCGAAACGACTGACTGACAGTAAATACAACCTATCCACAGGAAAACTCGAAACGACTGACTGACTG